ATAATGTATATTTATAACCTAATATATATATAAAAGCTATTTCATTAACTTGATTTATAAGTATTACTGCTACGGATTTTATGTTTGTTCTCACGTGAATTTCTTGTAATTATAACCGTGTATACTTTATATACGGTAGTTATTGTGGTTTATCCTCCTCCAGCTATTTGCCATACAGAGACGACATTACCAATGCCCTTGAAGATGAGTTCAACTTACTAAAGAGCATCAGAATCCGCTTCACCAAGATCGAAGTGAGTTTAAGAAGAACGAAGGATAATAGGGTGAAAGTAAGAAGAATTAGAAAGATAACATAAAAAAAGCGGACAGATATTGCACTGATGTTAAAATGTGCAACTAACTTATACCTTCTATTATAAGGTATTAATTATTTATTAATTGTTTTCAAAATATATATTTTATACTAGTGGGATTGTGATTTATCCTTCTCGGACTAATTGCCATAGCGGTCGCATACCCGGGCCAGCGAAGGCAAGTTCAGCTCACTAAAGAGCATCATCACCCACTTTGCTGATCAAGAGTAAGTGAGTTTAGAAAGAACAAAGAAAGTTAGAGTGAAAGTCAGAAGAAGTCGAGCAAGAAAGATAGCATAGAGAAAGCGGACAGATAATTGCACTGAATGTTAGAACGTGCAAATCATACTATTAATTAGATTATCTAATTAATGTATTAGTATAAACGTAGCCATCATTGCTGACAACGTTTGTTTATACTAATTATAGATATATAGATGATATATAGATATGTACTTTAGGGGTCGTCCATAAATTATGCAATGCTAACTTTTTTTTTTAAAAAAAAAAAACAGAAGTAGGAGATCTTAAATTCTTTTATGCAGAGATTTTCTAAAATAAATGAGCTATTTTCATTTTTCTAATTAATATAAGGCTCTGCGAAGGAAAACTTTTAGTCTCTTGCGTTTCGTTTTTTAGTGAAATTTAGCGTTGCAAAAAGAAATTACAATTAAATCAAAAGCTGGTGAGAGCAAGAAGAAGACAAATTGTCTTATCGTCGAGGCCCCATTACATTTGTGTTTAGTAAACGTTTTAAATATTTACATGCGAAATATATAATCAATAAAATAGTACCGTAGAACGGGGTGACTTTGTTAGGATTTTGAGCATTTTTGCAAAATAAATCTGGTTCATTACAATTTTTTCTGATTTTTTTTTTCCCGTTATAACATTATACCTTTCCTTTATATAATTCCATTAAATATTTTTAATTTTTTTTTTCGTCTTAATATATATATTTTTAATCCAAAATGTTATCAATCTCACCCCGTCGTTTGGGGTGACTTTGATAGTCTATTATTTCTTAATGGCTTATTGATTTAACCCTCTTTACAGTGTCGCTAATACTTTCTTTTTGACTTTTATTAAATTAGAACACAACATATTAATAAACTTATAAGATTTACTGGTAAAATTATAAATTTAGACAACAAGTTTGGTTATCGAATATATCTACAGAATGGACAAAGAAAAAACAAAAATAAATTGTTAATATGCTAAACACAGAAAAATAATATATCAATAACATTGTTATAGTAATTAGCAGTTATAAAATTCTGTCTAAAATCCATTCTGTCTAAATAGTTTTTTACTAGCAGACGTATATCTAACTTATCTAAAGGTAACTTCCAATCTGTCAGAATGCTAATAATTTGTAAAATCTTTTCTTCTATATGGGGCTGTAATCTAGTCTGTCCTCCAGGGTTTTTCATATGTCTTAGCTTACTCTTGTTGTACAGAGTACTATATGGTATAGCATATATCTTAGATGCCTTGAAAATCGATATTCTGTTAGTTGAGATATTTACCAAGGCATTTTGCAAGTCTTCTGCTGTGTAAGATGCATAGAATTGATTACCTGGTTTACGTTTATAAGTTCTCATAATCCTTGCAATTCTCCATGTGATATTTTTTGTTTTAACGTTTTTTTTAACTAGAAATAATCGTTTGAAACATTAAAAAATTACAATAGGATTGAAATATATAATACTAAAAATCATTTGAAAAACTGAAAAACAAAATTGTTTTGATTTTTCTGCAAATGTGATTGAGAGTAACCAAAAACGAGTGGTATATTCCAGTGGTATTATAACTGGAAAATACCACTTGAACATCTAAGTATAGATTTTTAGAAAAAAAAAATTTCAAAAAAATTAAAATCACAAGATTTTTTGGCATTTTTTGGTACGTGTAAAAATCGTTATTTTTTTGTTATAGTCATGTTATTCCTAACACATTTGCACAATTTAGAATCACTTCACAATCATTAAAATTTCAAAAATATTAGCAGAATATAATTATGTACAAGAATAAAAAAAAAAAATAGTCTCTAATTGTGCAACTTCACATTCAAATCATTATTTTTGTAACTAACAGACGAAATTATCAAAGTCAACCCGCGTATCAAAGTCCCCCGTTCTACGGTATATACACAAAAAACTTTTGAAATAAAAAATAGAAAGTTT